CGAGAAATTCTCAACTTTTGAACATACCACTCTTCCGCACTGCCAGCGGCCAAAGGACCTTTCAATATAGAGCAACCTCTCTCTGGAATGAGTTGCAGCCTGCGCTCAAACTTAGCCCATCCGTGACGGAATTCAAGTGTTTACTCAGGCAAAAGCTTCTTAATGACTGCTTTATTTAATTAATTTAATTAATTTTATTGACCTTTGTCTTCTTTTATCATTGTTATATTCTTATTGTCATGTACTTGGTTTATAATTTTGTAATGTAAAATTGACTCTGAAAAGCCCCGTGGGGACGAGCCAATAAAGTATGTATGTATGTATGTATGTTTGCTCGCGCTCCCCCTCCTTGGCCGGTAATAAAAGTCCATCAAATATATAAAGACTACAAATGGACGAATTTATCCAGGTGTGAACTACAAATCTCTTTCACTCTAAGATAAACATATACATATAAACAAAACAGTACATGAAATCTTCTGAGAAGCAGGAAATCGCCGCTTAAAATCGACAAGATAAACTCATTGAAATTGCCTTAGGAAGCCAATAGCAAGCATTATGAGATCTTGAAAATCCTCCAAATCGCTCTCTTCAGTAATCTTTTTCAGAAAAGGACAGAAAAGGAAACAGTGTTTTGATCCATGGCCTTGATTCCTCTCTCTCGGAGATGCGAACTCGACCGTGTCACGATTGAAATGAAGAACAGCACCAATTTTGCCCATGAACCTTTTTGGGTCGTGATGCACACCGCCTGAGGTTCAGCAATGAAAAAACCATTTCTTTTGTCTTATTTCCCCAAGCCTCGGAGCCAAGTATAATTGGCTTTTTAATACTGCGGAGCCCCATTGGTATGAATTGGAAAGCTATGGATGTCAGAAAATTTGTTAATGATATAGCATACGTTCGCTCGCCCGCGCGTCCGCGAAAAGAGCATTTTTTTTTTTAAACTTATAACCAAATTCAGGTTTTTATAGCTACAATTACTTTGTTGCCAATTGCTAGGGCCTAATCACCCAAGCTCTCGCATTTGGTAAGTTTATCTGAAAGACTATTCCTTCCTTTTCTTATCAACCCTCCAAACCAATCCTGGTAAAACTTTTCAATCTACAGTCTCCTCACATCAAGGCATCATGGAAAGCCGCAAAATATAAAGTAAATGTCCTGCGACTGGTTTTGAAGCTCATTTAAACATGTTCGCGAAAACGGTCGCGTAGCTTTCTGCTTGTTGCGCCATTGTAGACCTTTTCGCACAGTGTGCAGATTGTGTAATAGATGGTATTTGCGGAGATACATTTGAATTGGCACTCTAAATCACCAAGGAGTCTATTAATGCCTTTCATTCAACGATTAACTCTTGTTGTAGTCCTGGCATAGTACCATGAGTAGGCAGCGTGGCCGAATAGTCTGCAGCGTGTCGGACTCGCAATGCGACAATTCGGGATTCGAGTCCCGCACTGACCACAAGCCGGGTGTGTTTCTTTGACGAGTTCAAATCTTCTGTTATGCTTGAAATAACCATTTGGTTGCCTCCTGCCAGTTGAGGCTCTTTACCGTCAAAAATATTTGAGACAGCTAAGAATTTGCTTTCCATGTTTCCACCAATATTATGTCATCACCATTTGGCAAGGCGCGAACAACGTACTAGAGCTCAAAAAGTCAGTTTGCCCATCTTTTTCGGAGGTAAATTGACTAATATATAGATTTAGCCAGGGCTAAAAGCGAAGCTCTGGTTAATAATACGTGTAAACAAAAAAATTAAATCGTGTGATACTAAACGGAGGACAACAGTGAAAATGGCTTCAAGACTAATAGGTCTAATTAGCAAAAAAACAAATTGCACGTGCAGCACACTTTTTCTTCTAATTAGCAAAAAACAAATTTGCACGTGCAGCACGCTTTTTTGCCTTTCCCTTGCCGTTGTTTTGCACGACTACAACGCTGTTTTGTACGACTAAAACGTCAAACTCCCTAGTTACACACTATTTTTATGCAGAAATTGTCGTATGTGCTTACCCAATATTTTGTTTCCAGTGTTCATGTTCGCTTTTAATATTCACTGCCGCTCATTTTCACCTTGCTGGCCGCTAACATTTCTCATTTTCTCACCGCCGCTTTGAATTATCATGTTTTTCTTCCTTCGAATTTTTAATAACTCGCTCTAGCTCTTTCTCTGTTATCCACGTTAGTGTACACATAAAAAATAACGCCGAAAAAGACACGACTTTTTTCTCTCTAAAAGTCCGGGCGGCCATGTGATTTCCTTCCAAATAAAACCTTGAGTTGCATTTGGGTTCCCATACCTGTTGATTGAGTTATTTTACATTGGTATGCCTGTGGTGCGGACGGACGGTCGCTCGCTCGGTGTACGGTCACGTGATTACCAAATTTTCTGGGATGGGTAGATTACCACATTTCCTTAGCTATGGGGCTCTGCCCACGCGCGCGCTTCGCGCGCGGGTGGAGCTCCGCTATTATCAGCTTAGTTAAAAACGCATGTTTTATACTGCACCGCAATCAACAGTATTCAGTTAAAGGCTACTTATGATTAATTCTTGATTCATCGTTAAAATTATAATAGCTTTAAAAAGTAAACTAAAACAACCATTGCTTACTTTAAAGTATTCATACAAAGAAGTAATTGCTCCGGAGTACATTTTGTTTCTCAATTCGAAGCGTGATGAAATAAATAGAATTAATCTGAATGCCTATAAAATAGTTACTTGAGTTCATTAGATGTGATAATTCAGTTTCTTGTGATAACCGTTGTAGAAACCGGATGTTAGGTTCTATTTTAGTACAGAACATCTTTCTTGTAGAAGAATAGTAAAAATAGTAAAAAGTGAGTTTCATCTAAAATTTTTTACAGTTATATTCTCCAAAAAACAGTTCATCACGATAAATCTGTATTTTCCTTCAACAGGTATTGGTGCCTCTTCTAACCAACGCCAGAACGTGATCAAGAGAGAAATATGGAGCTTCAACAGTCCGACTTCTCACGAGGTGTTTTATCTTTCACTTGTTTATACATAAGTCTTTACTGCCGGTTGGGGAGAAATACATGATACTAAGACGCCTACCGTTTAATTCAGTATTTTGTTTCTTTTAGAAGAAGAGCGCTTATGACCAAGACTATTGTGACCAAACTATGCTTTACTTAATACCACTTAAGGTGTGAGGCAAAGGAAGGATATTTATATCTTTTGTTGTAATGCTTCACTTGATTTGTAAGCTTTCTTGTTCAGTAAAACATAAAATGCAAATGGATTAGAGTCACCGGATGATATGGTGGGTGCACTTAACTCTCTCGTGACTGAGTGCTTAGACTGCCACGCCCCTTTGAAGAAAGTGAAGGTAACGCAACCACCAGCCCCATGGATGGCGTCTGACGAGATACTTGAGTTGCAAACTACTTGGGACAAGCTAAGGGAAGAAGGCCGTTGCAGTGGCACTGATGAGACATGGACTAGGCTCAGAGTTGTGCTTAATTGGATGAAGGTTGTCATCGGAAAGGCTAAAAGAGCATTTTTGAAAACCGCTCTCTCGTCAAAGTGACCTAAAGAGGTTTGGCGGGTTATCCATAGAGTTATTCATCCTAGCCCCAGGCCTATTCGTACAGATCCTGATCAGCTGAATCGTTACTTTATCAAGTAAACGGAGAAAACACTGGGCACGTTGGCAGACCAGGCCGCCGATCTAGTTGACTTAATTGACTCACTTCCTGAACCCGATCGTTAGCCTTTCCAGCTCCGCACTGTATCTACTGGGGATTTTCTCAAAGAGACAAACCTACTTAGATCGGACTGTTCTACTGGCGTTGACCAAATTCCCGTCAAATATGTCAAACAGATTGTCGATCGTGTGGATCTCTAATTCGCGATTTCCACGCGTCTGGAAAACCGCGCGCATCTCACCCGTCCCTAAAGTCGACAATCCAAAACAGGACGCAGACTATCGACCGGTCTCTATACTTCCCGCGCTCTCCAAGGTCTTCGAGCATTTGGTGCTCAAGAAATTCGTCCACTATACACGACTTTCATAATGGCCGACGGCGCGCTGGACTGGGATTGATTTCAGCATGGAAACGAGGCCAGGGAGGCCACGCTCGGTTTGAGTTGTGCATAAATCAGAGGATCAAAATGTCTTGATCGCTTTATTCAGGCACAATATCTGTTCAATTTAGTTCAATTACTGATCGCGATACCGTATAATTATCAAGAACGAAATGCCAACTCACTGCTGTGTGCCAGAATGCACAAAGAAAGGCTGGCGTGATGAAAATGGAAACAAAATATCGTTCGTTAAATTTTCGATCGATGACCTTCATTTGAAGAGGAAATGGCTACACGCTGTAAGAAGAGATGAAGGGAAGTACTTCAAAGTGACTGAGGCTACAAAAGTATGTTCCAAACACTTCAGGCCAGGTGAGATTAAGAAAACCCTCGCTGGTAAAAATGAACTGAGAGCTGGAGTTGTGCCCTCCGTGTTCGCATGGATTAGAACATCACCACGCAAGAGAAAGGATCCGATTGCACGAAACTTCGAAATACCTCAAGTAAAGCAGCCCGTAAATTAAATGTTTCATCCGTAGATCTAACGGATGACGTTCCGGATAACTCTGTAAACGACGACCCAGTTGAATTCGCCGAGAGCGCCGATGGAAACTCGTCATTTTCTTGCAGTGTGAGAGATGCGGAGATGTAAACAGAACCGGAAATTGGAAGTGGGACAGAACTTAGACAGCAAGTATTGGAACAAAAATCTCAGTTGGAAATTGCTTTTCGACGTATTGAGGCGCTTCAAAAACAATTATTTTCGGTAGACAGATTTAAAGACGATGACTCTTCAATGAGATTTTACACTGGTTTCCCAAATTGGAGTACATTTTTGGCTGTCTTAATTATTTGAATGCAGGAGATGAAGGAGAAAACATAGTCTACTGGCTTTCTCAGTCAAACGTTTCTGTTCTAGCAGAATTCTATGACGAATCAGAGGGAGAACCGTCAAGAAAACTGGGCAGACCAAGAAACTTGAGGCCAATTGATGAATATTTTGCTGTTATGTGCAGACTCAGACAAGGCCTACCTGAAGAACATCTTGCACATCTTTTTAAAGTTTCAGTGTCTACAGTAAGTCGGGTTTTTATTACCTGGCTTAATTTTATGTACCTAAGGTTAGGACAAATCAATATTTGGCCTTCTAGAACAGCTATTGAGATAACTATGCCGGAGGATTTTAAGAAAAAATATTCATCGACCAGAGTTATTATTGACTGCACGGAAGTTAGGTGCCAGATGCCAAGTAGTCTACAACTGAATGGTGAATTGTTCAGTAATTACAAACACCATACAACCCTTAAAGGTCTAATTGGAATCAGTCCCGGAGGTGCCATAACCTTTATAAGTCAACTCTACACTTGAAGCATTTCAGATCGGGAGATAGTTGCGAGAAGTGGTTTCCTTGATTTGCCTTTTGAAGACAATGACTCAGTCATGGCAGATAAAGGGTTCACCATTCAAGATCTGTTACCACTGGGAGTTTCCTTGAACATTCCCTTTTTTCTAGGAAGTTCTAGCCAAATGCCCGCTGAGGATGTTGTGAAGACTCAAGAAATTGCCAGCTTGCGCATACATGTAGAACGTGCAATCAACAAGATAAAAAATTTCCACCTTTGGGATGGGGTAATACTCCTCCACCAACTTGGCCTTGTAAACCAAATGTGGTCTGTGTGTGCGATATTATGCAATGCGCAACCCAACATTATTTCTATTTAACTGCAAGCTTAGCCAAAAAAATCATGTGTTAGTCATCCTCCAATAAATTGAAGCTACCAGTATTATGTTCCAACAAATTTTAATGGCTATTGACATTTATTTTTGTAAATGTGTCACTAGTACTACCTTGAAACAACCTAACATTATCCTTGAAGTCTCCATGTGAACGGGATTGTGAACAGACCAATTCTCCTTTATGGTCTCAGCGCATAAATGACAGCGGTCATGTTCCTTAATTCCGAATTTATATAATGTAGCGTTGGTGGGTAAGATGTGGTGTAAGATCTTGAACTGAAACATTGAGAGTTGTATGTCTTTCGTAGCACCGAAAGGCATCTTGTAAATTTGAGAAATTTGCTGTTCGTTTAAACTAGCTTTTCTCAGTCTTTTTTTGGCGGTGGCAGGAACAAATTTTCTTTCAACAAAAAAGTTGGTAGCAAGTTTAGAAGAAAGCTTCTCAACGGGAATTCTATCCATACTTATGGATTTATTCGAAGGCGGTTGTAATTTACCTTTCATTATTTTAATCCAGTTAGGAGGAATTGCTTTGCATAAACCGTAGTAGGTAAGAAAATTAGTTTTAAGACCAAAATAAGAGCAGAAGTCTTGGTGAGATAGAAAGGTATTGCCGTTGAAGAGATCTCCAATTTTTTCAACACCCGCTACATGCCATGCTTTATAGTATACTGAATAATTGTTGATCCTAATAAAGCGGTTGTTCCATAAGATTTCATTCAGTATTTCTTCTTTTGAGGAGGGAGTGAACGAATTTATGGATTGCCAGGCCAACAAGGCTTTCTCGTAAAAGATCAATGGAATGTGGATGTTAAGATGTTTAAGTTCAAAGTTACATTTAAGGAGAAAGGGACCACCAACTCGCTCTAGCAGGGAAACAGGAATGTGAGTCCAACTCGCGGTGGGATGACAGCTGTCAAGTCTTCTGATCCAAGTTGCTTTGAGAGCATTGTTAATTATGTCAAAATCAGGCAATGAGAGACCACCTTTTTCTTTAGGGCCAATCAGGGTAGTTTGTTTTATTTTTGGTTTTTTCTTTTGCCAGACGAATTGAGTAATAGCTTTATTAACTTTTTGAATAAATGTGGGGGTGACAGTGAGGACAGCAGTGTTATAAATAAGTTTGGAGAGGGCTAATGCTTTTAAAATGACAATTCGACCATGTAAAGTTAAGTTACTAGGGTACCACAAGTTTAGCAAGGAAGCCATCGAGGACAGTTTCTGGTCAGTTTTATGGTCTCCCTATTCATCTCATATACATATAAAACTGGTGGGATGAATTTGTTATAATATCTAAAACATTTTAACTGCTAATAATTTTTGTAAGTTTTGTCCTAAAAATATTAATAAAGAACCATAATTAAAGGGTGGCTTGTAAGGAGGATTTGTGTTGTTGAATCAGGCCAGTAAATTCATTGTCAAAAACTGCCAAGACAGACAAATGAATAGCCTGTTCCAGGTATTCAGATAGTGGAAAACAGAGCAAAATAGCAAGCAAACAGAGCAAAATAACAAGCAAAAAATAAAATAATTATTAGCCAAAAAAAAAATTAGCACCTGCTCTCACTTACACCTTTCCCTACAATCTGAATGCCTGGAGCAAGATAAATAAAGCTATTTGTAAGCAATATAATTTACAAACAATATCAGCTTCAGGCCACAGGGTATAATAAAATGGAAAATGCGTCAAAATACAGTTTTTTCGTGCAAAAGTAGTTGAAGCAGGTTAAAACAATGCATCTTAACATCAGGTACACAATTGAAACATGCAGCATTTTGGAGAAATGACCTTCAGCTGAATTTTGAAAATCTGCTGCTACAAATTTCAAAAAATGTTCAAAGTAATACTGAAGAAGTTCGGCCCTAAGGTTCTGCCAATAGGTTGCATCAAATGGTATTCTCAATGTAAATCCCCTTTCCAGTATACACAATAAAGTCACACCACTTTGCTCCAGTAACCCCCAACTGTCCTTGAACTTGGGCGTAATATGGATGGTCCCTCTTAAGTTTACACTCCGTATCGTAAAAATGTGGGGTCAGAGCAGGCCTCCAGGGGTGTCACATGGAATTTTGTGTGAGGGCATTTTACCTCGGCTAGCCCAAAGCAAAGTGAACATCCAAAGTCAACAACTTTGGCATCGGGCGATGCACCAAGCACAGGACAACTTTTTGACACCACAAATCCACTTTTGAGAACTGCAACAGGGGTTTTTCTGTTGAACATAAACTTTTCATATTGCTGAAGGGCAACAGGTTCATACTTTAAGCCATGTGTTACATACTTTGATGAAAAGGGCCTTGGATGCATCAGTGATTGAGCGAAACTTTGGTGATTTCTTTGTCGCCTTGAGATAAGATGGTATTTGGAAGCTGTGAAGCGGTAGGTGCGTTGTGTCTTCCATTCATCACATCCTGCTTGTTCCCTGGTAGCACTTTCTATTGAATGAATTCTGTCCTCGTCAACAATTAAATCCTTGATTAACGCCTCTTCAGTGTCACTCAGCTCTCTTGGTACAACCATGTCATTATCATTATTCAAAGGAAATCTTGGATAATGATTAAGTTCTTGGGCATTTACTGGAGCGTTGTTTCTTGGCACTGAGGTCAAATTGGCCACAGCGGAAAAGTTTGACTCAGTGAATGATGTCTGATAGCTCAAAATGGAGCCAACAGGGCATTTCCCAAATTTAGAGCTTGCCAGCTCAGTACTTGAAGTTCCTTCACTCATTTGAGCAAAACCCATGTTAGGGTCAAGTGTGGAAAGTTCAGATTTGAAAGTATTTTCACGTACAGGATCATAGTTAGGTTGTTTGCGTGCTTCATACAGCAGGCATTTCACACCTGCACCACCTCGTGGGCTGCTCGACTCATCCAGTTTAGTCTTTTTCACAACAACCTCCATGACTGGTTGTGGGAAAAGATAGAAATCTTGGCACATGGTTTGATAACCATATGTCTAATATATAGATTTAGCCAGGGCTACAAGCGAAGCTCCCGTTAATAAATTCATAATTTAAATCAAACAATAAACTTGTAATCCACAGATCAGGGCACATTCATTTGACTTTTGAGGCAAAGGCTAAGTGATTTTAGAGAAAAATAATTTGACAGTCCAAGAGTGAAACAAATTTTACATCGAGTTATTAAATAGTCTTATTTGTACACCCAAAAATAGCAAACATGTTCGATCACAGTAGAAACAAATAGACCTATTCGTTTATTGTATTTGCATTAGCTGTTGCATTATAATGTGGCATTCACCAGTCTCTCCTACATTGCTCCGTTAGAGAGACTATGGATAATTGGACAAGTTCGACAAGTTTAGTTTGCTAGTAAATCTTGGCGACGAATCTGGTGGCGTGTAAACTAGCCTTTTAAACATACTTTTTCTCATCACGTCTCATTTAGGTAAACAGTACTCTGAGGCCCTTTTTTTTATCATACAGTCCTCGGACAGAATTTGTTCTTTTTTGCCCTATTTAAACCTATAATTCTGCAGTTTTTCACAATTTTGCAAGAGAATTTGCACTAATTTAATATCCACGACGATCAAAGCACGCGCTTCCTTTGCATAACAAATTATAGCATTGAATTATAAAACGTTTTCATGAAGAGAATTCTCAGATAATGCCGGGACTTTACAGTTAGAAAAATCTGGCTCTATGTGATATGCAGGGTAATAATTACGGGCTTTTAATGAACACGATAAAAAAAATTCCCAAAATCACTTTTCGGCCAGCCGGACGGGTTATCACTTTTGACAGGCACCAAATTTGCAGTGCGACTAATAGAGTTGCCATTTACGCTTCAACATGATAGAGAAATTGTTATGTTTAGGTTTTATTTCCCTATATTTATTAAACTGTGTATGGTTTTGTAATGTGTAATCTTTAAAAGCGAGTCATATTTACGAGCGCCGTTTTGAGTATTCCTGCATGCAGTGTTTATGTTCGACTGGAAACAACCGGTGCAGCGATAAAAATTGCGAGAGGGGCTACTAACAATCAATAAAATAAATATAATTCGGTGAAACATGTACAGAGACAATAATTTTCATTCACGAAGAGAAGTATTGTGAGTAAAGTGTGTCTGAAAATCATGAGTCAGGTAAGCATAAGCTTATTTATGTTTTAAGCCGGCTCCCGGTGTTTGCGCTTTTTCAAGATGAACTCGAGGCAAGAAAATCGCTCAGCGCTTTCTGCTTACAGCCAAAATCATAACTAAATAATCTTCGGAAGCTTTTCTTTGAATTTGCGGCTTGAGACTTTTCAACCCTCTTACGGGCGGGCGTACGGGCGGGCGTACGCTAGGTTATAACCAAATTTTATCGGTTGGATAGTTTACCAAGTTTTCTTACCCATGGTGCTACGCTGCGCGCAAGAGAGAGCTCCGCTATGAATACTCATATAGGAAAGGTGTGTAGTAAGGTATTTGGGGGGCTTTATAATATTAGGCAAATTTGGAAATATCTGTCTGCAGAATCATCAAAGTGTTTAATTCATGCGTTTGTTACATCACATTAAGATTATTGCAACGCTCTTTTGTGTAAGATTCCGCAATATCAACATGACCGACTTCAAAAAGTTCTTAATGCGGCGGCTCGGGTTACATACTTAATTCCTAAGTTTGCCCATATTACTCCGGTACTAAGGGAACTTCATTGGTTGCCAGTGAAATTTAGAGTAGAATTTAAGATTGCGCTTTTAGTTTTTAAAACGTTGAACGGCCTGGCGCCACAATATTTATCTAAACTACTTGTTGTAAAGCCTAGAACTAGATACAGCCTGCGGTCTGATTCTGAAACATTGCTTGTAATCCCTAAGGTGACACGGAAGACTTTTAGCGATCGAGCCTTTTTCCATGCTGGACCAACAGTATGGAATGCTTTGCCATCTAGCCTTAGAAACTGTAGGAACATTGACTCTTTTAAAGTACAGTTGAAGACTTATCTTTTTAAGAAAGCTTTTAATTTGTAATTTTATATTCTTATTACTATTGTTATTTCTGTCCATTTATTGTATATATATATTTATTTTCTTGTACATATTGTAAAGCGCTTTCGAATATTTTAATAGTTAAAGCGCTATATTAAATGTAATAAATTATTAAATTATTATTATTAAGTGGGAACGGAATGATAGTCTTTATTCGCTATGTGCTTGCCAGATCTTGTGATGTGTTCATTCATTTCTGCTTTAGTGAACATTGGCATCCGTTGTCAGGATATTTAACAGGACTGATATCTGTCATGCAGTGTCTCCATACGACTTGAGATTCCCTGTTGCTCCACTGTTATGTATCCCCAAAGAATCAAGCACATTTCATGACATTGCTGCAACTTTTTACAACAGTCTACCATCCCATGTCAGAAACATTACTGTCTATGAGTATTATTATTATTTCTATTCGTTTAATTTTGTCGCCTTTGCTATCCCACGGGAAATTATACAATTTGGAATTCATTTCTTGAACTATGTTTTTGGTGCAATGGTAGGGATAACAACAGATAGACTATTTGCGACACAGCTAGAGAGTTCATTATCGTGATTTTACCCAAGAGAGTCAGTCTCCTCGCCGACCATCCATTTAGAATACTTTGGAATTTTTCTATCTTTTCCGAAAAGCTGGCATTTGTAGGAGTATCTTCCAAAGTTGAAACCATACTCCCAACGCATATACTTTATCTTTGGTCCATAATATTGGTTTCGAGGAGGGGGGGTAATTTCTGAACATTTATAGTAGCCAATCAGGGCTTCAGTTTTTTCATAATTGACTTTAAGACCCGAGATCAGGGCGAAAGTGTCCAAAAGTATCCATGAAGATCTAGACAAAGAAGACTGAGGTCCATCTGTTACAGTAGTAAGATGAAAGTGGTATCATCAACGGATGTGGTATTTTACATTCAGTGTCAAGGACGTAATTTGATTCCTTGCACCCTAGTATAATTTCTGACGGAATTTCCTAATACTTCTGCACACAAAATAAAGAGATAAGGGGACAGTTGGCATCCTTGCCTCACTCCGCGGCTTAAAGAGAAAAAGTCAGAGGTCGATCTATTTTTTAGAACACAGCTGCTGATATCGGTGTAAAAGAGCCTAATCCACGCCACTATTATAAAATTATAATAATTTAAAGTTTTCTCAATGAATGACCATTCTAGACTATCAACAGCCTTTTCGGCAAAGTTAATAAATAGCAACAGATATGGAATTTATTCTACAGGCTTTTATTCGATTGCATTGATTTTAGACTTCCCCATCATTCAGTTTCCGTTAAAGGCCCTCCGCATTCTTTTTGTTCCAATTGATCGAGTATAAGTGTATTTCCCTCCGCGAAGAATAGGTCATCATAAAGATCATTCAGTGGTGCGACAGTTGAAGTATAGAGTTTTTGGTGAAAAGATGTTGCCTCCCTTAAGATTTCGTTATCTTTTTTAACGACACTATTGTCTGACAGCTGTAAACTTTTGATAGTTTTTTTTATTAAGTGTTGTTTTTCAAAATTTAGGAAATATCAAAAGTAGGTTGAGTTTGATCGTCCTGGTGAACGTAGTCCTGAATAGGACTTTTGTTGCTGACAGTGACTGACGTTTCGACAACCTGTGCGGTAGTCATCTTCAGAGTCAAAGTGAGATGTTATGAGTGTGTAACGCAGGTTAGCTGTAAATTCCATAGAAAAACACGTGAAAAAAGGGAAGTGTCCCAAAACCTTTTGGCCAGGATTGTCCGAAATGAAGTTGCTATTCCGAAATCTCTTACAAACGTCATTAGTTTGCATTTTTCAATGTACGTTACTACAAAGATGTCCAAAGTGTTGGAATTTTAGCATGTTTGGATGAATATCTACAAGTTCTGGGGCTCACACAGCCTACAGTCTTAACTTTGGAATGGATAAGAGGTCTTTTCTTGGTTTCGCCATCTGCATCTGTAGTAAATCTACTTTTGACTATACCACAAATCACTCCAAGTAGCACTTTTTCACTGAAAATGCATATTACATGTAACACCACCGTATTCACGGTATAAATGGTATTATAAAACACCACAGGGCCAATTTTTCATCCAAATGATACGTGAAAGGACAGACGGGGACACCATCTCGGCTATAGCACAGCGAGCTTTAAGTCTGATTCAAGCAGGTAAACTGGTAGAATATAGGGACTTTCAATGAAAACGGCTATCTCGAGAAGGGAAATATCAGACGAAGCCACACCGTAAAATCAGTGCGAGAAGAAACGAAAGCGTGAATCCGGAGTTAATCCAAGCTCTTGATAAGCCGTCTAGTATAAATACGGGAAATAAGGCAGACGCATTGATCGTCAGACGACTTAAACATCTGAAGTTAAGTGAGTCCGATCGACGTACTTAACAGTTGAATTAGTCTTCTCAGATGTTTAAGACGTAAAGTATAAAAACGGGACGCGCTTAACGACGCACTTAACAGTCAGACGTTTAATGCGTCTGGACGTCTAAGACGTCTTCTAGTATAAGTACGGCCATTAATGAAGCAAAGGTGTGATGATTTTCCTAGAAAGACATTTTTTGCATCTTTTTGGACAGAGAAATTCCAGGATGTTTTGTAAGAGCGGCGACATTAACGCAGTCTTTTTTACGGAGAAAGCAGTCCATCCCAAGTTTTAATAATTCAGCCGCTACACATCGGCATTTAAGTTATCCGCCCTGAGCTGCACTAAATTCCTCTTCACAGACTTTGCTTAAAAACGGCTTGTTGAAAACTTTTCTT